TCCTCCCCCCCCCCCCCGCTTTTTCAATAAAGGGCCCCCCACGGAGTCAAAAGCTAGATCAATTAACAAAGTTATGCAAATATTAAATTATTTATGTATGTATATAGATTTATTAAGTAATACCGGCTTCTCTTTTTCCCGTTTTTCCTCTCATTACTGAATTTCCATATAATACAGGGCGCGCATTAGAATCCGGACAAAAACATTTTATAGAAAAAAAATCGTTTATTGCAGCTAATATTTAAGATATAAAAAAATGCTTTTATATTTCATTTAAGAGATCCTTTCTGACAATGATCTGATGTACGTAAATTTTTGTAATATTTATAAATAACTCTTACTCAATGTAGCCGCCCTACGCCTGTATCATTTTCTCAATCCTTACCCTAAAGCGCGAGCATGCCTTCAAATGGTCGCAATTTATGGCAAACGCTGCCTCGATAGCGGAAAAGCTTGGAGGGAGGTGACGTTGGAGCCTTTGGACTTGTTGGACTATTTCTCCATTACGCTCCATACGTAGTATTCGAAAGGGTTTAAATCAGAACTATTCGGAAGCCAGAAGTCCTTCGACCAAAACATATCAGATTTTTAATTAAACTAATTAAGAGACTACAGTCTCTATGTTAGATCTCTTCAAGGTTTCACTACTGTTTTCAGTATCTTCAAATGTACCTCCTTGATGACCGTTTCCTCCTTTTGACAAAAGTATGGCGGCGTGATGTCATTCTCGTTTGAGACAACACTCAGATACTGGCCGGAAATTTGATCTTTCCCATCACAGGGACATTCTCGGGGTCGTGGGTAGGCCATCGTTCGCTCCTCCGATTCACTTTAGCATCTACGGTAAAGATTATCTTATCAGAAAAAATGATGTGGCCAGCAGTTTCGTTTTTTAACAAACACACAAGCAAATTGCAGCGAGGAAGTCTTTTACGTTTAGCGATCTCGGAGAGAATCTGGCAGAGACGTACCTTGAAGATGTAGGAGGTCCTCTTTAGCGATCCGACGGCCAATGGTTTCGCTAATCCCCGAGACAGTGGCCAATTTCCGAAGCGAGATCCCTAGATGTTTCGAAATCATGCCTTAGGCTTTTTGATGACTTCTGGAGTTCTTACTGACTTCTCCCTTTTTATCTTTCTCGCTGGGATGGAGGAATCTTCTTCGGATTCTTCTGAAATCGCGTGCCTCTTCGCAATATCATATATCGTCGACCTTGGTTACCCGACTTTTGGGTACCCGAAAAGTTTTGTTATTTTTATCGGCATTCTTCCAGCACGAAGACATTCGATAATCGCCACTCTTCTATTATATTTCAAGCTTAACTAGACGAACTCGACCAATTTGACGTTATAAAACTTTTACCGATGTATACAAAATTTACTTTAGCTCCAAATAGCACCTACCCCTGAATTTTACTACAGCAAAAATTTAAGTTTGTCCAGATTCTAACGCGGCGCACCGTGTAAATATCTTGCCATTGTATTTCCTAGTAAGTAAATTGTTCGCAGTGTGAGATTGGTACTAGATTTGTTCAACACCGACACCATCCGTATCCGCATTAAACTTATGTTTTACAGATGTAATCTGACAACAGATTGTTGGCAGAAACCGGGCAGAACCTGTTTCATAAATATTTAAATGTTTACGAAACGACAGATTTGGCTATCCTGGTTTACAAATGCTTATGCAGTACAAAAATCTATCTTATATCACGCGTATATGTATGTATGTACATACAATATGTATGCATGTGGTATACGAGGGCAAGTATAAAATTATCCGCAATGCAGCTATAAACTTTATGTAAATAAAGCATGGATGTCGAAAAAATGGTATTATTACAAGTATTTACATAAAGTTTATAGCTACATCGCGGATCATTTTTGACTCGTATATTACATTCATTAACCTTTCGATAAAATAAACTCGATATAAAAATAGTAATACTTCGATACAATATAAACAGAAATTTAATCGAAGTCTCAGAATGTGAATGTGTTAATTATGTTTAACTAAATTATTACCTTTCAATAAAAATAAAACCAATCGAAAACTCACAATTAAATGCGACATAAGTTAATGTTCAAAAATTTAATAATACAAATAACGCAAGTAATTTACTGTTATTCAAAAGACATTCTTTTTCACCTGTTGTACAAATTATAATGTCGTAGATCCTAGAACATAGTTGGTAATAATCTGGAGCAATTACACTAATTAGGCTGTACAAAAACCGCTTATAGCTCATACTTATAACTAGTTGTTTTGTTTGCTTTATAAAATCGTTATTAACAAGAAAATTGTTTGCAAAAACAAGTGTCACTCAAATTAATGAAAATTAGAACCTTTACAGACTGCGTACATATTCATCTATGTAATATGATGGCCAAACAATGTCATGTACTGCTATCATAATGTAAAAGACAAATTTCAAGAAGATAATTACTTTATTTCTTGCGTACTTTATCTTAGAGAGTATACATACAAATGGATTTAAAAAAATAAAATTGTATTTATTACTGAATGAATTTTAATGAACAAATTTTCAAAATTGACTTTTCTCTAGCAAAAACCTAACGCAAAATCATCAATTGGTAAAATGTTCAATAATGTTCAGTAATGAATTAAAAAATCTTTGATAATTGTACAAAATAGTAAGCAATAATTACAACAGATATTTAAACATGAGGAAGAAATAATAAATAGAAAATGTTGACATAGGAAATTTAATTTAATATTTATACTTATATTTACTTGTATTATAAATTTATATTTATTTACATTACACTGCTAAATTTCGTATTGTAAATATCTTCTCGAAATTTTGTTGCTTTCAAACATCATATTACAAACATTTGAAAAAGTGTATCATTAAAATCTCAATACCTATTGCCACAACTGTTTACATAATAACAACATTAACAAGTCGCGATAATGTGATTATAATATTAATTATATAACGTTATAACTACATGAATTATAATGTATTATGTATGATATTAACTATAATATATTTTCTAATGATGTATTTTCTATAACGTACTATACATATATATAATAAATATATAGGTATGAAGTCTTATTTTGGAGTAACAAAACCTTTCGTTAAGAAGTTAAAGAAAAAGCAAAAAAATTATTTTTGTTTTAAGCAGAATGAACTGCAAAATGTCACTTTATTATAAAAATTCGGTTATTCTTCAGTACAAATACAATCACTAGAAACATACTTTAGATAATACACGCGTATATCCTGCTGTATGTTCCAACCACTTCTCGAAATATCCTATTTTCTTGAATACTAATCTCATCATCAGACGTTACTGTTAACAAGTTGCTGTACAAGAAAAGAATTTTAACAATTTAAAATTAATATATGTGCCAAGTCAAATCTTTGTATTTCTGAAAATAATCTTCACTTGTTGCATTCATTAAATTAAATCATAGTTTAACAGTCTGAAAACATTAAAGTATTGTGTGAAATATGCTCTGCTGCTAAATGAACATTTGTATGCAGCACTAAATATAAGTCTCTTATCAAGAGATAGTCAAAATTACTTTTGTTGAAAATTTAAATAAATGCTACTTAAATAATTGTCTTCAATACAAATGAATAGCTGTATCTTCTAATAGTGTTTAAAATGTTAATATCTGATTGTCTTCAATGACATAAAGATCTATGATTAAGTAGCATCTATTATAACAATAAATTGTTAATCATTTTATCAGTTCAGATAAATAAAACAATTATATATTATTTTCGCAATAAATTCGTCTTTAACAGTATTACTGCAAATTTTTTGTCTTCTCTGAAACATTTATCCTATTATTAATAAAAGAATTAATCGTGTCAAAATAAAAAGCAGAAAGAGAAGTTAGTTATTAATAAAATATATAGTAATCTATATATTTTTGTGTAGAGAATTTTGACGTCTATTATTTACTAGTCACATTAGGTAATACCAATTTTGTAAAAAATAATGAATTTGTAATCGCTGATAACAGGAAAAATTATATAATTATTTACAAGTACGGTGAAACACAATGAATATGGAATACTGATAACAACAGGACAAATAATAAAAATGATTAAAAAATTTTTAAACATTCCTATTAAATTGTATCTGTAAACTGCTACAGCTAGTTAAAAGTTAGTTATGTTTTGACAAGTACATAGTTGTTCAGAACGATAAAATATATTAACGAGAATGTTGCAAGTGATAAACAACAGCAGAGAATGGCACAAGATGATCAGCTAAATACCTATATTACAATTATATCGCAACTTGATGTTTATAAACCTAAATACCTATTAAAAAAAGTAATTTTGTTAAGAAAATTGATTTAAATACAAAGATTTATAAACATCATTTACCAAAAAGATTGTTCAGAGGATCAGAAGATCATACAACAGCAACTGTTAAGTTTCCGTCCTAATTCAGATAAATAACATATGTTCCTTTATATTCAAACAATATGTTTTTGTATGTTCATCAATGTAATGAAATTTTGACATGTGTTATTGACTGTATAGAATACATAACACGTCAATTTTATTTTAAAAAGAAATGAAAATATTGTTGCTAATATGAGGCATAATTCCATGATTATTTACAAATACACATATGAAGTAACGAGTAAGAACTTATATAAACTATACTAGATTGCATTCAAACAGAATCGTGCAATTCAAAAGTTAATTGAAATAGAATAGAATTTCTCTTCATCAAACAGAGGTAAATGGAGGTAAGAGATAAGTGTTCCTGAACTTCACCGTTTGTTTGTGTCCAAGGTTTAAAGAAATGTGATTGCTACCAACGGTTTACATTTGACATAACGCTATTATAACGACTGCGGGCCTCGTGCTTTGATGAATGCTCATGTACCGCAAACTCTTGCACTGAACCACATTCGAAGCCTGGACAGAATAAGCAGATGTAGCGACTTGGGTTTTCCTTAATCTGCTGCATTGTTTTCACGGTCACGAGCATATCTGTGTTCGTTGGTGCTATGTCGTTCGATGTTAGTTGGAAAGACGTGCCTGTCTTACATATTAGGTACTGCACGAAATCATTGCCGATATTCATCTGTTGCTGCTGCTGCTGTTGCAATTCCTGCTGCTGTTGCAATTCCTGCTGCT